GCGCCCCCCCCCACACACACCTCCACCTCCACCCCGCAGGCCCTCATTTCCTCTGCTCTGTCCCCTTGACGGAAGATGTTTATTAAACAACAGCAGCAGCAATCCACAGGAGATGAAGTCGAAGGGATGGGGAGAAGTTGGGGGTTTTAGGACGGTTTCGGCTTCGGAGGGGGCTCTGGGCACTATTTGTGGGGACCTACGGGGCTGGGAGCTTCTTTGACCTCTCGTCGCTGAGGAAGAGGGAGAGAGGGGAAGAGAACGGGAAGTGTCCAAGGATCCGCTGTCCGTCCTGAAGTCTGAACCTGCCTGAGGCCGAAGGGATTCATTAGGCCCTGAAACCCGAGTCCGGGAGAGTTTAATTCAACTAATCAAAGATCTTTTAAATGTATCAGACCTTTCTCTGATCCTGGTCAGAGGGATGGATGGGGGGGCACCGTCATTTCTCCTTTTCTTCCCTGAATAGCCCCCCACCCAGGCCCCAAAATGGCTCAGACGAGGGAGCTGAGCACGAGAAAGGGTTAAAGCCACTTTCCTGAGGTGTCACCAGAGCAGAGGCCTGGGGAAGGACCCCTGAACAGCATGGGCAGGGTCCCCAGGCATCCTCCCTTCCACCCAGAGAGGAAGGAGCCAAGGCCGAGTTTTCCGTCCAGCTCCTCCGCCCTCGGGATGGCCGTCCTGGACGACTTCCCAACACCGGTGTGGGGCACCTGCGTGAACAGCGAGCCCACCGGTCTGGTCTCTGGCCCACTCGCTGCCTTCCTTCCCGCAGACCCCCCTCGTTGGAGCGTCCAGATAGCCGGTTTCCTTGGCATCCACTTTGCAGCCCAGCACTGGGACTCCCCCTGGCCGCCGGCTGGCTCCCTGGCTTTCCCCCCAGCCTCTGCCCCTCCAGACTCTGCCCTGGGTGCAGTCACCCCTCTTGTCCTGGGACTCGGAGGCGCGACCCCCGGAGAGACCCAGCTCTCCTCAGGTTGAGTTTAGGGGCAGATTGGGGCTGATTTCCTCAGCAACTCTCTGACCCTGAGCCACAATAAGGAGGCTGCCCCCAGCCCCAGTCCTTTTAACAAAAGCGGGGCCACTCCAGCTTGGGGTTTTATCTTTTTGGCCATGCACCCCTGTGCCCTGCAGAAGGCTGTGGATCACCTCCTCACTCGCACAGACTCACTCCCACCCGTTTTTCTTTCCAAATGAAGCCATCTCGTGTCATTACGTGTGAAATACGAGGGTGAAGCGCCATATTTCTTCACATTATGGCGATTTCAAAATGATTTTTTAAAGATCAATGCCGGCGCCCAGCCCAGCCCCCTCCTTCTCCACCCCTGCTCTTCGAGGGCGACAGCCCGGCAGATCCGGAACCAAACAGCGTGAAGATCTGTTTTTTCCAAAGGACTCAAGTGGGGAAGCAAAAATCCGATGCAAATTCTTCTAAGAGGCGGTTGGACGCTTGGGAAAGTCGAGGGAGCTCCCCAGACTCGCTAGCAAGAAAGCTGGGTGTTCAGCGAATGAATCACAGTTAAGGCAAAGCACCTGTTCTGAATTTGCCAGACGTATGAAGTCTGCTGTCGGCTTCACCTGTAATAAATATACTCTTCAGGAAAAAAAAAAAATTCCCTCCCCCACCATAAATAACGGCGTTGTGAGGCATGGCCAGCTGAGTCTATGATTTTCTGTAGTGTATAAATTAGGGTCCAAAAGGACATGTGGACTGTGGACTGTGGATTTTTTTTATTTATGGGAAAGTCGCAGCGCTGGGCTGGCCTTCAGACCCAAGCTGTGCAGGCGCTGGACTCTCAGGGCCACCTTCCTGGCTCCCAGTCCCCAGCCCTGGCTTTGCCTCCCTGCCACAAGAGAGGAGACAAGAGGCCACTTAGTGTAGGGAAGAAGTTAGAGGAAGCTGGACATTTGGGTTTGTGGCTTGCGTCCTGTTAGGGTGAACTCTCCCAGCAGGTGGGGTTCAGGTTTCTAGGTTGCTGTCTGCCTGGGTGTTGCCTCTAGCCCCCAGTGGCTCTTAGGTGCCGGGTGAGGAGGGGACCCGGGGCCTCTTTTCTGAGACCAGAACTTAGCGTTAGCTGGAGTGTGGAAACAATTTCAGAATGATAGATTTTGGTGGTCTTGGTCTTCTGGGGGAGATGTGACTCTAGAGGAAAGAAAGTAGACTGGCCCCCAAGCCCGGGAGTCTGCACCCCAGCACACTGCCTGCCCTCCAGGTAGGAAGGTGGGTGCACTGAGCGAGCGAGGAATCTCACCCTAGCCAGGCTTTCTAGAAAGCACTGCTGGCCCAAATTAGAGTTCAACTCCACTTCAGACAAATGATTGAAGGGTCAGCTGAAAGTCTGTAGACCCCCCAAAATAAAAACTCTTGTTTCTCCCCCATTTAATATTACCCACTGTGACGGAGGGGAGCAAACAGGACTGTGGGCCCTGGAGGCCAGCCTCCCAAGACACTTAATAGAGGGGTCACTTCAGTGGGGGTCACTTTGTCCTGAGAGAGCAAAACTGCTCCGAACCCCACCCCCAATCCTAAAGAGAAAGAAGGAACACCCTGCCTTCCCTTGCAGACGCTTGCCATTCCCTGCACTGGAGCCTCGCCTGAACACAGCTGGGGCCAGTAGCTGGTAGCTTGGGGAAGGGCATGCAGGGAAAAGCAGTAGCTCCTGGCCACACTGGGGCCCGTGCAGCCAAGAGCGAGGATGAGGTTTGAGGAGTAGAGGCCACCACTGGCCAGAACCAGCCGGTGAGTGCCTGTGCTTTGGGGGTGATTTTTGGAGAGGTCTTTGTCAATTGGAATAGAAAGAAAAATCTAGAGGGAGGGAAGGAAATGGAAGAGAGAAGAAAAACAATAAATGAGAAAGGGGGAAAATAGTTTGTTTTTAATTAATATGCTAAGCTGAAACTTACGCATGCTGTATTGAGTAGATGTGTGTATCCTATATGTATGTTTCAAATAAATATTCTTGCCTAGGGAACCCAGAGTGCAAATGCTCTGTGCTCTATTCAGTGTATAGAATATGTAATAAATAAATCTGCCCAACCATAATACTTGAGATGTGCTTGGGAGTTTGTATATAAGATCTAATCGTGCATATGTGGATATGTGTGTTACTCCTGTGAGTGATACAGGCTTGCGATTCAGCTCATATAAGATCACTGATCCAAAAGCTTGTGTGTACGTTTTTATAACCATCGTACACCTATGGGGAAGGCAAAAACTTGCGTATCCATGTATTTAAATGATGGCTATCAGATATTAGGTAATTCAGGAGTCTCGCTTGGAAATTTGCCTCTTGACTTGATATTCAAGCAAAATATATATCGTATCCTCAAACAAATGCAAGTGATTTAAAGCGGGATTCTATTGTAACTTCCTCCCAAAACATTTCTCTGGAAGGTAAAGGAGATGCCTCACATGGACCCAGGAGAGGTCATGAAATTTTGTGACTTTTTTTTTTTTTTTTGTCTGGCCATGAGATCCTTTACCGCATTTCTCATCCAGAACTGCAAGGACAGTGTGTGCTGTGTGGTGCTTGCTTCATGGTCGTGATGGGCGCGGAGATAGAGTCAGAGTTATGAGGACTCATGCACACATGTGTCTCACACAGGTGTGAAGCAGAGGTGGACAGGGATGAGCAGAAGTGTGAAAGTCCTCAGGTAACTATGGAGGTCATGAAAAACGTTGCTGTGTACAACAAAATCAGAAGAGTTCCCAAATCTCTGTCCCCAAGCACCGGAGGTGTTTCTTCTGAACCAGAATCAGAGTTCAGACCCACTCCGCAGAAGAGGGAGGCGTGAGGACACTTGCTCCAGCAGGGAGGAACACCAAGGTTCCAGAACGCTCACCCTTTATACGAAATGGCCTTCAAAACGGGTATCACATCGAATGTGCACGCTGGAGTTCACATCTCCGTGCTTCCACACCCCTCAAGTGGGGATCTTAATTGTGAAGTAACGAAATCTTCTGCTAAACCTCCCTCCCAGGACGCCAGAGGTGAAAGGAAGGGCGGAGGGGTCAGTGGCCCAAGCCGACCTCAGGCATCTTCTTACCAACTCTCAGCCATCAGGGATATCCAAGGCGGTGGGGGTGGCTGGCTCCTTGGGAGGGAACATCATCCAGGAAGCCAAACGGGGTGGGCGGCAGGCAGGCGGGAAGGAGGTGAGCAGGTAGAAGGTTATTACGGAATTGCTCCATAAAACCTGTGGCTGTTGTAAAACTCTGCTTTCCAAAGACTTTATTTCCTCCCTTCTCTCTAACATCCCCCTTTTTTCTTTTTACAGCACTTTTCCTGGGAGGAGATGGCCGAGGGACGCCTGGGACAGAAGACAGTCAGGCTCCAAGTAACCGTGCAGGTTTGTGAGAGGCCCAGGGAGAAGCAA